TCTAGGAATTAAGGGAGTTTATTTTGGGACTTAGACTATCAGATATAGGCCTGGTAATTACGTGGCGAGTGTCCAAATGTGAACAATAGGTAAAGCAGTTTCTCATACAAACTTCCTTTGAAGAGCATAGCCAAATGTTCCAAGGTTATGATACAATGACTTTAGAAACTTAGATCTTAAACCATTCAAGGGGTATACTGGATTACTTCTGGTATGCTGATAGTTTTTCTTTTTTTTTTGCTGTTATTTTGTGTTATACAAGGGTCTCTCTGTCATTCTTACTGTTTTACTCTCTTTGCATGAATTAAAGATCCACAAAGATGTTATGCTGCAATGTAGGCATTTCACCTGTAGGAGAGAAACCACTTCATGGTACTTTTGGGGAGAAAAAATCTTTCCAATTTTGTAAATAGATCCCACCTTTCTCCTATTTGACTGGCAAGGAAAGTATACTATAGGAAGTTAGAATTAAAATAGAAAACATGGAAATTTGATATGAAAAGAAGTAAAATTAGATAGATTAGAGCTAAGAAGCATTTTTTTCCTTTGATCCTCAGGAACATAGAGGAGAAACATCAATTTCAAACAAACAGGAAGACCGCTCAAACTGAAAACGCCTATCAACACAAAACTGTAACTGTAAATTGTGCATTAAGGGGATCATATGAATGCTGTACTCTCATATACTACTGAATTTGGTTTTAAATAAGCCAAAATAGAGTTTTAACTGGAATATATAGATGAGGTCAGAGAGTCTGTATAAGGAGACTGCTTGTTATCCTGATAGAGCACAGTAATTGCTGAAACCAAATTACTTATGCTTTATAATCACAGATCTAATACATGTATTTTCTACAACAGCGATGTGGAGAAACTGATAAATCGCTGAACTCCATTCTCATTTGGACTTCACAACCCTTAGGTACAGAGTGGAAAACAAGTCAACTGGAAATTAAAAATAAAAGTTTAATGAGGCACAAAAATTCCATGTTTTACTTAGGAGAAAAGAAAATGTTTCCTCTTAGGTAGAATGTATAAAAAAAGATTCTCTAATCTTTTCTGTGATCTATAGCTTATACTCTACCTGACCATACTTCCAATAATTATCAAGATTAATATCTAATATTATTTACTGAGTACATATGCTAGGCAACTTATACAAGGATTCTATCTTCTCCCTAAAGAGTTATAAATACCATTCTGTCTCTGAACAACATCAAATCAGGAAGGTAGAAATCTTCTTACATTAGAATGAAATTATATAACCACACATTAAAATACAGGAAAATATGAACATCATACAATACAAAGCAGCAAAGTGTAAAAAAAAAAAAACGAACAGTGGCTATAAAAAAACAAAAACTGGTTATACAAACTCAGAGACAGACAGATCACTCTGGTTAGGGTAACCAAAGAAAATATCATCAGTGATTTGGATCTGAAAGTTATATAGGCTGTATGTTAAGTGAGCAGAAATGGGTTAGGGCATTCTATCTGGAGGACAATATGACCACAGTGGTAGGCATGTTGGGCTCAAAAGCAGTCAACAAGGTTAACACACTATAATTGCATCTCGGGACCATGCTCTGCTCTGTCTCCCCCACTCTTGCTATCTCCTGATCCACATCTTTACTTCAGCTTCATAACCTGGTACCCTCACGCTGCCTACTTGCCTCAGGTTAATATGATTAGCTAACTCCAGCCTCAAAAAGATCTCACATCAGCTATGGTTTATTTACCAAAGATTTACATATTTATAGAAAAAGTAAAACATAGGGAATTATGTGGCAAGATTTAGCTTAACAACTATCACAAATGAGAAGCCATTTTTGAACTTTATGATGGCAGTCCAGGTACACAGCATATCTGATGGGAGTTGACCCAAACTGCAGGCATAATTACAATGAAATGGCCCAGGTTACATTTCCAGCCTCCCGTCTCACCAACCTCCACCTCACGCAGTTGCAGTTCCAAGAACACATTATATTCTCTTACCTCCAGGCCTTTGCTCATGCTGTTTAGGCAAGGCGAAAATCATTTTTTAAATTTTCAGATTATAATAGCAACAACAACTCAATTCTCATCTACTGATAAATTTAATAAATATTTATTGAGGGTCTACTATGTACCAGGCATGTTCTAAGCACTGTGAACATAGACATAAAAGAAAACTATCAGAGAATAAATGCTATTGAGAAAATTACAATGGAGGAATATGAAGATAGTGACTGTGTGGCTACTTTAGATTGCGTGATCAGGGAAGGGCCCTCTGTGAAGGTAACACTTAAACTGAAACAATGGAAAACAATAAACAGTTACGTGAATAACACAGGAAAAAGTATTCCAACAAATAATAAGGCCCTAAATAAGGCTCTATGTGGGATATGTTTGGGAATCATAAAGATGGACAATTGGCGAAAGCATAGTGGGCAAGAAAGAGAGTAACAATATCAGAATAACAGGTAGAGGCTCATGTAGAGCTTTGTAAACCAGTTTGAATGTTTTTCTAAATGAGATGGGAAGCCACTGAAGGATACTGAACAGAAAAGGCACATAATCTGATTTTTTTTAAATCATTCTAGTTGCTATTCAAGTAGGACAGACTATAAAGGAAAGCAAGTAGAAGCAGTTAAGAAATAACTGCATTGCACACAAATGCTCATAACAGCATTATTCGTAATAGCCGAAAAGTAGAAACAATTCAAATGTCTATCAACTGAAGAGTAGATAAGTAGAGCATGATATTTCCATACAATGGAATATTATTCAGTCAGAAAAAGAAAGTTCTGATTTAGTACTTATTAATCTAATAAATAGCTAGAAATGCAACAAGCTCAGCTGGAACTTGAGTTAATGCCAAAAAAATTTTTGACATATTCATGGTAAACACAGAGAAAACAAAGAGATAAAGGAAAATAGAGAAAAATTAATAAACATAAATCACAAAGACAATCCAATAAAAGAATAATTGGCGTCTCTGCTACAAAGAACTACTACAGCCAACAAATGACCCCAAAAAAGTATTCTGAGACACAATGTAAGAAATCTTCCCTAAAATGAAGGAAGAATTAAATTTGCTTGTCAATGATGAAGGACACAACATATAACAGGAAAAATTAATGCAGAATGATCAAGCACTCAATAAATAATTCCCGAATGTTGCTGAATGCAACATATGTTAAACTTTGGGGATTAAAAAAAAAAAAAAAGAAAAGGTCAGCCATCCAAGCAGAAAAGGCAAGTCAATTAATTTAAGTAAAATTTGGTTGACCTTCAACTTCTCCAAAACAATATTAAGTATCAGTGGACAATGGAATAATATTTACAAAGTTCTGAGGGAAAGGTCACACAACCCAAGAGTATTATACCCAACTAGGCTATCTTCCAACATTAAAAATAAGAACTCAGGGAACATGGTATCCATAAACTCTCTTTGAAAAAAAAAGCTTAACAATGAAATTCGCCAAATGAGAAGTTAATAAAAACATATAATACAGAGATGGAGAAGTTATGATAAAAGGAGTAGCGGTGGATATTAAATCTACTTAGATATAGACCTAAAACTAAACAAGTGGAAAATTATTGCATATAATATTAATATTATAAATCTTAGTAAGGTAAAAATCTCAAGGTGAGATTTTATAGCAGGGTATCAATCCATCCTATCTAAAATAAATACTTTATATGAAATAAAACAAAAAAGATGTTTTCAATCTTTTTAATACATTTCATAGTCTATTTTTAATTTTAGAGTGAACTTTTAGAAAAAAAATCTTTCACTTGGTGAAGAAATATTTATCTGAAGTTCAATTATCAATTTCTTCAATTATCACAATTTGATTTTCTTTTATTACATTAAAATTCAATTTAATTCTTTTGTAAAGCATGTATAATGTAATCCTATTCTTATAAAAGCTGTTTGTTGTATAATTTACTGTTTATTGGCACAAAGATCCTCTCCATCTGTGGACCTGTGAAACCTAGAATACAAGTTATCTTCTTCCAAAACACAATGGTGGAACAGACATAGGATAGACATTCCCAATCCAAAAGGAAGAAATTAGAGGAAAAAAAGGGGTCACAGGTCCCAAGCAAGTCCAAAACCCAGCAGACCAAACTTCATTAGATATCAAGGCCTCATACTGGATTATGACCCACTCTACTCCAGCATAACTTCATGTTAACTGATAACATCTTCAAAGACCCTATATCCAATCAGGGTCACCGGAAGTTACGATTTCAACATATCTTTTTGGGGTGTTCCCCAATTCAATCCATAACACCTGCCAATCCCGGCCTACTCACAATCCACAGAATAATGTGACCAAGGCTGAGGGTAACCAGTTAACCTTAAATTACAACCAAAATCCTCATCTAGGCCTTTGTCTTAAGGCTACCTGTTCAGAATTTGCTCCGAGAACTTTCTCTGACACTGACCATGGCCTAGTCACCTGGATTCTACCTCTTCTCTGCAAAGCATTTGCAGATCCTTCCCCAAAGGAGCTGCTTCCCAGGGTATACCTTGCCTACATCAAATTTTAAAGAATGCCATATACTGGCCTAACTCGATCCTGCGTCTCTCTGGGACAGCCCAATTCTGCAGATGCCTGAGATCAACTGCTGACATAAAGAAAATGATATGCCCTTTAGTATAGCATGGTTAATACGAAATCCTGCTTACAGACAGAATGCATATTAGTCAATTTCTATAAGTGTTTCATTCCAATAAGATTATTAAATAAAAGCAACTTTTCTAATGTTTAATTTACTTAATGCTAATTTTATCTCATAAGGAAAGCTCATTTCTAAATGACTTTTAAGGCTACTATTTTAGCTTTTAGGTAACAAAGTAACAGAACAGAACTTCATGCAAGAAATATTTTTAATAGACTGCATCATCTGAGTAAAATACTAGCAAACCAGTCCTACAACTATTCAGAGTTAAATTATTAATTTAAAAGCTCATTTATGTTCTCATATTGATAATCACATATTCTTACCTTGAGAAGGTATGTGGGAATATTGCTGAAATCCACTGGCAACTTCAAAAGAAAACGAGCTGAAAACTCACCAGTCTGTAGAAAGAAAGTATAATAACAAAATTAAAATCACAAATAGATATGCAGTAACAATTATAACCTAGGCCACAAGTTCAACCTGTTCAAGATGCAGGCATCTTCAATTTGGATTTCCTAACATCAGACAAGAAAAGAAGGTTGGAGAAGTAGGGGAGGATCAGAAAAGAATTATTAAATTATTAGTTACTAAAAAGCACAATTAGAATTTTTATATCTGAATTTTAAATGTACAATAAAATTATAACGTAGTAATATTACCTTTTTGTTTCTTAAAAGTATAAAAAGAATGCATGAATGTATTATGATTTAAAAAATCCAAACAATAGAGACAGACTTGCCTCTTACAACTGATTTTACTAAAGCATTCAGACCACTTCATAACCCACAATATTTATAACCCACAGGGCTGATGATACATATCACTATACTTATAATGTGTCTGGAGTTACATACAAAGGTCAAACTCTACCCACACAAAGCAGTGCATCAGTGGGTACTCCAAATAAGATTCTAATCTCTGGATAGTTTTTTAGCATCATTATCATCAACTAATAATTTTCAGTAATTTCCATTATGAACTAGTCTCCATGGGAAAGAAGTACAAAGGTTTGGCAATTTAAAGTAACTCATGAAAAAAAAGTTTCCTCTCAGACTGAATTGCTGGGCGGAGGGCTGTGGGGACCATGGTCTCGTGGAACATCTAGCTGAATTGGCATGACACAGCTTATAAAGACAATGCTCTACATTCTACCCTGGTGAGTAGTGTCTGGGGTCTTAAAAGCCTGTGAGCGGCCATCTGAGATACTCCACTGGTCTCATCCCTTCAGGAGCAAGGGAGAATGAAGAGA